GTCCAGTTTTCGTTCTTGTTCGTTAATTAAAGTTAGTCGACACGATCTAAGTGAAAAATTACATAACCTAACCTTCATAATGCAATGTAATAATGTGAATAATTTTAATTAATCTACAGTTTTTTTAAAGAAAATTTTTAGAAAAAATCTGTATTAAACTCATGATATTCTTGATTTGGAGAACAGGGAAGCAACAAAAGAATTGAACATCAGAAGAATTACGACATCAATGTCTGGTTCGGGGTGAAAAGGCTAAAAGCCCCAACAGACACGTGAGAAGCACTTTGGGGCTTATTATTTGCGGTTCCGCTTCTTCATGACAAATTGAAAATTCAGATTTTGGGCCTAGACAACTACTTGGGCTAGAGTTTCTGATAATGATGCCCATTGGGCATTTTTACCAACATGCATGCCATTACTCCTACTATCACAAAGATAATTGTCCCATTTAAGTTTTTCATTTTTAGTACAAACACGATAATTATTTTGTGATAAATAAATTTTTCATTTTTAGTACAAACACGTCAATTATATTGGGATAAATAGAGCATCATTTCTAATAAGTTACGTTGATTAATTTTTATGTCTAGTCCCAGCACTTTAGTACTGGTAGTATCTATTTTGGGGATTTTTGTTGACATGAGTTGTGAATTGTGAAGTTTGAATTTTGATCTTCCATCTTCCATGTGAATTATTATTACATATGTATATATACATCTTAAAAAGAAAAAAGAACAAATGTTGCATATTATACATCTTAATGATTGAGTAAGCAAGAAGAATAATCTCAAGAGTAACACAATCATTATGAGATTTTTGAAGTTGCATTTAATTTTTTTATTTTTTATATATGAAAGAAGTCTCAATTTGTTAAAAAGCAAATTGGGCCTCCCATTTTATGGCCCGATGCATGTTGGACACACGCAGTCATATATCGACTCGCTTTCAAATAAAAGCGTGTAGCCATTGTGTTTGCATTCCTTTTATTATTTTCCAACCCTTTTTTTTTTTTTGGTGATTTGTCATTATTTTAATTTCATTTGATACTTAAATAAGTCACGTGTGTTGTGGAACGGGGAATACTCTCAAATTTTTGCTTTCATTTTTAGACTAATACTAGAAAATTAGGAGTACTCGTTTGGGAACGTGTTGATCTTATTGATGAATTTGATGTTTGGCACTATCCTTATCCAACAATACATTTTACTTCTTTTTTTTTTTACAAACTCAATAGAATACGGAGAATGTGTTCTCTTTGCAAGTTTCAAATTTCTCATCATTTTTTCTTATAAGAATTACACTATTCATTAACTGTCTTTACTAATTTAAGTGGTTTTGGTCCATTTTTTACATTAATCTATCGGTAGGCATGGACCCCAAAAATTTGTTGATAATTTATGCAAGAGAGTTTTAGTATAAGTGGTGCCTTTACAATTTTTCACGTTGAATATCTACCTACTATTATATATATATATATATATATATATATATATATATAAATGCAGCTCAATTCAAAGATTCCAACTCATCACAAGCATCACACTTTTTTCATTACGCATAGTGTATGAGAAAAATGAAGATGCCATTTAAAACGTAATTCTTTTTTTTTTCCCAACACAATAAAGGAAACGATAAACACGACTGTGATTCTTCTTTAGTACCGTTGGTCGCAAGCAAAGCCAATCCAGGAGGTGGGGATCAACAAATAACAATGTTGAATATATGGAGTGTGGGGACCACGGAAATAAGTTTCAGTACTGATACAACTTATTAGTTTCAATAAGTTTTCTGAGCTGTCGCAATACCTTCCCTCGTTCCACTAAAAAAGAAAGAACAATTTAGATACTGTAAAAAACGAGAGTAATTTAAGATTGAAAAAATGAGAATGGTTCCAACTTTATTTATGGTCTAATTGAAGAAGAAAGTCAATATCTTTATTTAAAAACATTGTAGTTGTACAACTTCTTACAACCGCGGTGCTTTCTTATTTGCGTGAAAAATAAAATTTGAGAAAGCCACTCGATATATTTTTAAGATCACGTGTCTTTTGAACATTCTGGATAAAATGCACTATACGTATACAATTATGATGTGCATTAGTTTTTAATAAGAAATTGGTAAACAAATGTACTAATATACTAAATTAGTACAATTGTTGCCTGAAATTAAATATTTAAAGGTCTAATCAACGTTGCATTTTCATTTTCCTCAAGAAAAAGTAGTACTTACAAAATTGCACAGTGGTCATATCATGTTTGCTCATACAGTTTCTTTTTTTGTTTGTTGGTTTTTACTGTTACAGCCTCTCAATGACTGCCATTCCGAAAGAAATGCGAGACGGAAAAATCCTGGTGCTCTACAGTTTCCACGCATGCATGAGTTAATTACACCGTTACCCATCTCTCTCTCACACACACGCCACCGAAATTCAAAATCCTGTACTATAGCGATGAACTCCTTTTGTTCCTCTTCATTTCCCAACGAGCACACGCGCTACACATCCGATTTTGATGGTCCAGAAAAACCTCACGCGCCTAGACTCAGAGAAAAGGTGCTACTTTTTGTTTTTGTAGGTTAGCGCACAGAAAAGTTTCTCCGGTCATGTGCATACAGTAAAACCAATTTTGTAGCAATTCAAAATTTTTTTCACTCCTCTCGCAGCTCTCCCTCTCATAGCTCATCATCCCCGCCTTGTTTTCCTTGTCTCGTAAGTAAAAAAATCGTAACCAGGTTCTTTCTTTTTTTTTTTTTTAGAGAATACTATAAAATAGTGTATTAGAAGTATAAAAAAATAATGCTTGTTGGGGAATACATTTAATATTAAAAAATACATGAAAATAATCTCTAAAATCTAGTAAAAAATGATCTTTACCTGTATTTACAACCATGATACACGATCCACTATCATTTTGAGAGATACAATTGACTGTATACAAGTAGTAACTCTTTATCTATATATTGCATGTTTACTTAGTCCAAAAATAGTACTACTAGTTAAACACATCAAATTAGATATTCTAATTCCGGGCGCCACTGGACTCGTAAAATAATACTATATTAATATTGATGTTGCTATTTTCTTAGCATACGTATTCAAGAACAAGTTCAAACTTCATTATACAGAATCTAAAAAACAAACAAAGTGTAGTAATAATAATATTAATTATAAGGCTTGTATTGCCCAAAGGCAAAAAAGATAATAAAATGAGTGATGTATATTTTATTTTTTTTCATAGTTTTTATTTTTTGAAAACCAAGAAAACGAGGAATAGAAAGGCGAATAGAAAACGAGGAATAGAAAACGAGAAATGTTTCTGCATGAGGACAAAAAGGGGGGGGGGACCAAAATGATCAGGGGGATGGCAGTTGTGACAACATGAATGTAAATTCTCATCAATAATTATATGACGGAACGAATATTATTAAATGAATAATAATTTTGGAATGAATTAAAAATAAAAAATTCAAATTAATGAATAATAATTTTAGAACGAATTAAAAATAAAAAATTAAAACTGAATTATAATTTTGGGACTACAAGAGTAACCACGAGTGAGCTATGGGTTCACCTTGCATGGATATATGCAGAATCAGCCTAGCCGGATCAACAAAATTGGAAGGGTAGTATACCAGGACTGGGCCCACGGCACTGTAATTTACTTTTCTTTTTGGAACAAACAGTTAATATTAAATACTTACTGTTATCATCTGTTTCTCTCGATTTTGAGGCTTAGATAAAAGATACGGCAAAGATTCTCTGGGGGCTATTTAAGTGTTCTTAATTATGATTTCACGGAAAACAAAACTAGACATGTTTTTATTTTTCAGATATTGTTAATTTCCGGGTTCTGTTTTGGGGGTCTTGAATCCCTTTTTTTTTGGATTTCATTAAGATGTGATGTGTGTGATTGTGTCATTTTCTTTGAAGGAGTTGGTCTAAATATTGACAGTGACATACTTTTCATTTTTGGACTCAAAACTCCACATTTCCATAAACTAGTATCTCCCCACTTGCTTTGTTACCTTTTCCGACGATGCATTTGGACAGATTCTTGGTTTTACTGATTTTTTTCAGGCTCCAACATGATGATTTCATGTTACTGATAAGTTTGTCCTTTCACTTCGTCTTGTTTTCCTTCGTCTCTCATATGATAACTAAAAAATTGTAATCAGGTTCTTCGATTGGAACGTTTTTCTTGATGTGTCCTTCCTTCTTTTTTTTTTTTTTTTTGTGTGTGTAGAGAATACATATAAAATAGTGTATTACAAGTGTAAGGAAAAAAAAAAATGCTTGTTGTGGAATATATTGGATATCAAAAAGAATATGTTAAATAATTTGGAAAAAACGATCCTAACCGGTATTTACGTACCAACATGATTTTGCGCATCATAATGTGCATTACAGTTTACTACATGCTACTAAAAACTTTATTTATGTATTCACTGATAGTACTAAATTAAATTAAAGTATCTATACTATCTTATCCTGCACATAATCCCTACTAGTAGCCTATTAATACAAACCGAGAAAGACAAAAGAAAATAAAAATTAGAAAAAGAATAGGCAGTTTACTTTGTCCAAAATATAGGACGTATAAGAGACCAACTCAAATTCTCCTATTCAGGTCATTGGACTCGTATATACATCAATGCTGCTATTTCCGAGACAATTCAAGAAGTCCAGATCAACAAGCATTAATTTTGTTCCACAGCATCTGGGAAAAAAAAAACTACAGTACATTATAAGCTTCTTATTAATTAGGGTATGATAATACTAATATACAACATTAGAACCTTGAACCAAACAAGTAAAATTGAAATGGAAAAGAGTGACATTTCTTTTTCTATTTTTTCTTTTAGCAAGAAATAATAGAATTACAATGCGCGAATGTAGAGATATTTCTGAATGAGGACGAAAGGGTAAATCAGTCTAGATATAAAAGATAGGGGACCAGAATGATCCTGGGATGCAGCGTGGCGCGTGAGAGACGACAACCAGGATCGTGACGGTTATCAATTCTCCACTCTGATTCGCTCTTTTTTTTCTTTTCTTCTTTTGTTAGTCTCCAATTTAATTCTCAAAAACTGATTAAAAACCCCAGAAAATCAAATTCCCTTCCCGTACACACACTCACACACTAGAAGACCTTACCACCCACAATATATACAGCACCAGAGAAGGTGCAGATCCCCATTGATTCTCCTCATTTTCTTGGTCCCTTTTATTTTCCAGTTTGTTTTTCCGTTTATCACTCTTCCCTCATCATCTTCTTCTCCACCCATATCACACTTTCTTTTTCTTGTCCCCTCCTTTTTTCTTCCCTTTAATACTATCTGAAATACACTAAGCTACTAGAATATCTCTTTGCCTTCAACCGAATTAAGGTACTTAGTTGTTTAGTCCTTCTCCCTTCTTCGGACGTGAAAATTTCGCTTGAAAAGTTTATGGAATTTGGGGAAGGTGTTCCGCCCGTTTAGTCGTTTACTCTTGGCTACTGAACTTGCTGGATTAGGGTTTTACTACATTTTCCGGTTTTTCTCCATTTTTTGAGGGAACATTTTAAGGATATCTTGTGGCAAAGATTCTCTCGACTATGCCGTTTTGATTTTGAAGGCTTGAAATGTCTAGATCTCCATTAAAAACCCTTTTTCTGACTAGATTTGGTTTTCTTTTTATTTATTTTGGATCTTGTAGCCGTTTTCTTGGTGCAAACTTCATCTTCTCTTTCTGTGGGTTAAATTTTTTGTATTTCTGATTTGCTACTTAGAACGCATTGAATGATTAAGTTTGATTTCTTTCTGGGATTTTATCAACCAATCCGTCAAAAACAATTATATGCCTCCCAAAATCTGCTGTGTGTGACTGTGTCCTTTATTTTGAAGCAGTTGTTGAATCAGTAGTAGCGGAAAGGACGCTTTGGCCTAATTGATTTTGTGATATGTCGCCAGTCTGACCTGCTACTGATGACAGTCTGAAACCATCTCAGACTAATGTCTGGGTTTTTTTCTTTCTTTTTTTTTTGTATGATACGATAGTGATCCATTTTGTGATACGTAAGGGTTTTTGGTAGCTTTTTCGGTACATGTTTGGCCGATTCATTGCTATTAGCTTTGGGTTTGACTTAGTTTATTTTCTTGGCGTTTCAGTTATTTGGCTGTTTGTTTTTCTTTAAGATTTGTAATATTTTTTCTGGGTTTTTGAAGTGTTTTATTGCGCTGAAACTTACCATTTAATTTGATCTTTCTCCCCTTGTACAGTTTGCATTATTGTTTGCAAGTTATATTGACCAGGAGGAAAAGAAGGGTACTAAAAGTCTGAGAGTTCAAACGTGCCTAAATTTTTCCTTCACACACTATTTTTCTTCTAGTTCAATGAAAAAATTCTGTAGATTCTCTCATATTCTCATGTCATCTTTTGCTTGCTTTTGCCTAAAAGGGTAGCACTACTATCCTTTTCTTTGAATTTGTTGTTCTTAGAGTCAAATATTGACAGTGACCCCTTTCCCAGTGGTCACATGTCTTTATTTTCGGACTCAACAATCTACATTTTCGGAGACCAGTAAATCCCCACTTGTGTTGTTACCCTTTAGGGCGATGCTTTTGGGCAGATTTTTGGTTTTAAATTGCGTTGTTTTTCGGTGCAAATTCTTCTAGCTGTACATGGCCTAATGTGACTGTACATGGTGTCCTTTTTTCTCAGAAGAAACCATGGCTCCCACGACTGGAGAAACGCCCCGAAACCTTGTCCGCCGTCCCAGCTTCAAGGGTGGAATAAACGAGAAGCCGATCGATGATAATGGGAACGGCAATTCAAGTGATGATACCACAAGCAAAACAACTTCTAAAACTCAACGCCTTGGAGCTAATCTGCCGGATCCGAAGCCGGTTCCCCCAACGCCTCACCAAGAGCAAACACTTCCGCCAGTGGATCCGAAGACCGTTCCCCCAACGCATCGCCAAGAGCATACCCGTCCGCCAGTGGATCCGAAGACGGTTCCCCCAACGCCTCACCAACAGCATACAACTCCGACAGTGAATCCGAGTACGGTTCTGCCAGGGCTTCACCAGCCGCTCACACCTTTGAAACTGAATCCGAATACAGTTCTTCCAACGCACTATCAGCCGCATACTCCTTCTGGTCAATGGGCAACCCTGGAGACCTGCTTGAAGCTGCAGCGTTTCAGCGCAAAAGGCCTTGTGGCTGCAACAACAATCTTGTGGACCGCCAAAGATGCGGTGAAGGACCCCCTGTTCAGGATTGGCCTTGCCCTCATCCTCACAGGAGCAATTGCTATGGGGATTGCCTCAATTTACCTGGATAAGACCAATGTATCAACCCGTGAGCACAATTTTGCATTCACGCTACTCCTTGTTCCAGTTGGATTGCTGTTCCTCATTGCTGGTGGAGCCTTCGGATTCCACTTGCTGGACTCTCTGCCTTGGCAGGTTCAGCTAACTATTTGCCTGGTTGTGACTGTGATTTGCTGGATTTTGGTGGCAAGGCCCTGGGTTTGGAGAAACTGAGCAGTTCGTGTAATAATGCTATAGTTTCCATTATGCTTTGCTGGGTACTGAATTCGTAGCTTCTGGGTTAATTTTCTTTGAGATTTTGGATTCCGTAGCGTGTTTGTAATAATTAATCCCGCACAATGCTTTTGGGGTGTTGACTTCAATATCTTACGTTATCTTCTCAAACGCACTACATTGTGAGAATAACTTGTTAATCAGAAACCAGTTAATTGCGCCAAAACACATGGCAGCTAGATTGCGGTTTCTTGATACTGATATGAGTAATTTTCAATTTAAGTCAGGGCTTCAAATGAGTTTATCATTTGATCTGAAACAGATTTCAATGGGGATGAAATGAAAGGCGGCTAATTATTCAGTACCTGGACATGAGATTGAGCTCAACCTTTTTGGCTGTGGTGGATTCAGTAACGAAGTAGAATCTGCGAGCATTGCTACAATATACTCCACTAGGGCCTTATCCCAACCTTTCACTCTCAGTGGCTGCAATTATGAACAAAGTTTGTGAAAAAAAAAATGCTCCATCATACCAAATGTTTATATCGGTTAATTTATTGAATTAATCTAACACTCCCTTGTCCCAGGAAATTGTCCATTTTGCTGTGTTAGATCTACAAATGGACTTTTTTTTTTTTTTTTGACGGACTATTTCTAACTTGAAAACGGGAATAGAGCTTAAACTAAGGTCTCACCTTCACATAGCCTTGCAACACATGATCAGTAACTTGATTTGAATCGTACCATGCCCTTCGAACTATAGCAATGCCAAATTTATCAATCATTAACCTGACCTAAAATAACCAAAAAGCACGGCGTGAGGGATGCATTATGCATCCATATACTTTCTCCGTCCCAAAATGAATTTCGATAAGAGGCAAGCATGTTATCATCAAGATAAACTGAACCGATCAAGCTGTAATAATATAATGAATAAAAATCTATTACCAGAATTAGACCGGTGGCTGATCGGAGGAACGTACATAAGGTATTCTTGCAAAGAAGATTCAGGATGCCTCCCATGGCTTTTAAATACATGATTCCCTGAGCAATGCATTTGGTCAGCTTTGACAACAAACTGAAGATCGCAATGATTGGATTCTGATAGTTGGTAAAATGCGAGTACGGATCTCGTTTATTTCTGTCTCTTTGATCATCTTTGGCTGAATGTTGTGGCATGAGAAGTGTATAAATCGCTGGAGCAACAAGAATCAAAGCAGCAACTCGCTCAGGTGCCTCGAAATACGTATCAACAGCTACCAAGGATCCAGCCGAGTGCCTGCAATTTTGTGGTACACATTTAGCAATCATGAAAATCGCCAGAAATGAAAGACAGAAGAAGAGTGGATGTAAATTGTATCTTACTTACCCCACCAGAATGGCTTTGTCAGCTGCTAAGGAATCCATAAAGAACATTGATGAGAGCACAGAAAACAGAGTTGAGTACGGATTCAGAGGTTTATGATTTTGATTCCTTGGATCCACTCTTGAAGTTAATCCAAAGGCCGGTCTATCAAAGGCGAGAACTTTCGAATTACCCATGAGACGGGCCAAAGGCTTCATGACTCGATTCCATGAGAAGAGAGAAGCTCCAAAACCATGCATAAGAATTATGGGAAGACAGAGACCAACTCTGTAATCAGAAATTGCATTATCCACATCTTCTGGCAGGTCTTCATCGTCGTCCAATGTTAATGATTCAGAATCACATAATTTGTGGTGTATCAGCACCCCTTCAAATTCGCAAAAGCAACTATCTGGGTCGGCTAAAGCAGTTGGATCATCTAGTCCTTCCTGATCATCCATGCCAGCTACTTTTGGCATTATCGGCTCTGTTTTCATCTCTCCCAGCACTTGCTCTGGACAAACAAAATTAAAAATGAAAAAAAAAAAAAAAAACACAATTGATAGAGATAAAAACACCAAAACAGTGATGAAAATCCTGCATGAATGGAAATCGATTTTTACATGGGGGGAGAAACCGATGTCAAGAAGCTTCTTATGTCGAAAACTTATACACATTATACAGCCATGATAAAACCACAAGATGGAGAAACACGCATTACCTGAAATTGAATATTGAAATGGTTCGGAGGAAGAATCAGCAGCAAATTTGTAGGAGCCGTGTTTGAAGACAGAAGAATCCATTGCAGTTGTAGACGGCGCCAGGCGGCATAGGGAGCCTTTTAACCCAATTTGTAAAAGTAAAGAGCCGACTGATGAAACAGTAAAAAAAATGTGTTTTGGTAGTGCCACAGAGATCACAGCTACGTACAGTCAAATCTCAAACAATGTCTCTGGTCATTTGCACCCGGAATCAATAATTCTGTTGAATGAAGGAACCCTCCGTTTTAATGCTTCCTAACCCATACTCGTATTTATCGTTATTGCCTTATTTTACTCGTTTATTTACCACCATATCATCTTCTTCTCCCCTTTCTTTTTTTTTTTTTTTTAAAAAAAGAGGGTACTTGTAGTTATTACGTCCTATTTTGTCGACGTGGAAAATTGGAGAAAATACCTTTTTGTGCTAAAAAAAGAAAATATAAAATAAAATTAAACGTGTGTCATTAACTTATAGTACTAATTGCTAGTATAAAGAAAAAAGACCAACTAATTTTACAAGAGTGTTGAATGAAAAGCACAGGTAAATACATAATCCGTATTGTTAATTTGTTTGTGCCTCATCCTGGGAGGAAAATGAACTTAGACCAAGCATTTGGTTAGTTAGAAGGCAATTGCAAGAATTGGAAATTTTGGTTAACATAGACTTCCAGACTTAATTCCCCAGCATGAAATTTATACGTCAAAAAGGAGGAGCTATGCCCGAAGATAAAGATGTCAGTTATACCAATTATAAGACACTATTTGCCAACTATCAGGAGTGATTACAGAAGTTAATAGTATCCTATTGTAGGAAAATTAGGCATCAATTAAAACTCACACTATTCAGCTGTCTAGCTTCCAACAGATAAATTGTCCATCTAAATTATACACCTGCTTTAATAAGATTCAGTTCATCTAGAAGACGTAGTCTCAAGTCACTGCTTGCAAATACTGCTGCTCCTCTGAAGCACCGAATGCTCGTCGAAGAAATTTCTCCACGATTGATACAAACTCTTCGGCCTTCTCTTCTTGTGGTAGATGGCCACAATTCTTGATTACCTCTAGGCGTGATCCTGGAATGATTTTTGACAGCCTTTGAGAATTCCAAGGAGGAACTAGCCGGTCGCTATCTCCAGTAACAATAAGGACTGTGATTGATAACAGAATAAGTCAGCATTGGCAGATTGTGAGACCATACTGGTATGTATATCTGGCTTGCAGCAATCAGCAGCCACATGTCCTAACTAAAACACTAATTTAGCAATTCAACAAACATCATCTCAACCAGAACACATTCTACCAAAAGCATGGGCATTTATAAATACAAAAGCAGATCAGGATTGACAATGGGTATCATCTGACCTGGAACAATTTCTATAGGTAAAAAGAGGCAAGACATATCAATACCTGGACATGAAATCTCACTCAATCTTTTCGCCAGCGAGGGCTTTGATTGAGAAGAATTATCTGTAAGCATTGCCACAGTATATTCCACAAGAGCCCTATCCCAACCTTTCACCCTCAGCGGCTGCAATCAGAACCATGCATGGGTGGTAAAATATATTACTTGGTAGTAAATTATTATGCTGGTGAAAAGTATATGCAAGCGATTGTAACTTTGTGCAGCTGGATATTGAGCTTTAGAAAGAGAGGTCACCTTCACATAACCTTGCAACACATCATCAGTAACTTGATTTGAATCATACCATGCATTTCGAACAGCGGCAGTGCCAAATTTATCAATTATCCACCTCACCTAACACCACAAGAACTGCATGAGGCATCCATACAATAAGCAAAAACATCAAGATTCCAACTATCTACATTTGTGCTAGCACACAATGATAGACTAACACAAGTTCCATCTGTAATCAAATCCCATTCCTTCTCATGTGCAGTGGTTTCTAAAATTCTCCAATAATTCGGTACTCCTAAGTGGTAAGATGATGACACACTTATGCTGCATTCAGGTATAAGTTAGGTTCCTTACTGATTTGGGAACTGTTTCAAGAATACCAAAACAATTTCTTATCACCTCAAGTATATATTGGCTAAAGTCAAAATTTGAATTCAAAGGCTGTCGCTAAAATTTATGAAGGGCCTTAGAACTGGCAATCATTGGAACAAAGCAGTAGAATATACCAGCAGCACACCAATAGCGGATCGGAGGAATGTAGATAAGGCCTTCTTGTAAAGAGAATTTATCATATCTCCCATGCTTCTAAAAATTTGCATTATTGACTGCACAATATATTTGGCAAACTTTGACAAGGTGCTGAAAATTGCAATTATTGGATTCTGACGATTGATGGACTCTGACTGTTCTGGTTTCTGATTGTTTCGATCTCTCTGATCATCTTTAGGTAAATTCTGTGGCGTGAGAGGCGCAAAAATTGCTGGAGCAACAAGAACCATAGCAGCTACTCGCTCAGGTGCCTCGAAATAAGTATCAACAGCTACCAAGGAACCAGCTGAGTGCCTGCCATCTGTTAACTTTTAGCAAGAATATGACGCATCACAATTGCAACTTAATTCTCCTTTCGGATCCAAATGAGAGAATGAATTAAGGAAAGGATCAATGACGACAGAAGATTCTATACGTATCTTACCCCATTAGAATAGCTTTGTCAGCTGCCAAGAAATCCATAAAAAATAGTGATGCCAGAACTGAAAACATCACTGAGTATGGATTCAGAGGTTTAGTATCTTCACTGGCAGGGGGTGAATAATTTGATGGATCCACCCTTGACGTCAAGCCAAAGGCCGGCCTGTCAAAGGCAAGAACTTTTGAACCAGTGACACGGGCCAAAGATTTCATGACTCGATTCCATGAAAACAAAGAAGCTCCAAAACCATGGAAAAGAATGATAGGAAGACCGAGGCCAACTCTTTTAGTGTTTTCAGATATTTGAGTGTTATTAGCATCTTTTGACAAGTCTGCATCAAATGATTCAGGATCACATAGTTTGTGGTGTATCTTTACTCCTTTAAACTCGCAAAAACAACTATCTGGATCCCCCAAAGGAGATGGATCCTCCAACTCTTCCTGATCCACGCCGGCGATTTTTTGACTATCCGGCCCTGGTTTCACTCCCAAGAGTTGCTCTGGGCAAACGAATCAAAATAACGTAGATAAGGATAACACAACGAAAAAATGCACAAGGAGACTAATGCCAAAACAAATGAGGGGTCACAGTTGTTCTTCTCTTTGATACTCTTTTCCAGTTACCTAACTACAGAGGACATGTTAAAAATCCATGGCATACATTACAATGAAGATCTCTTATGGAGTCTAGATTGATGGGAATTGATTTACATGAAAAGACTAAATACGAGAAAGAACCAAGAAGCTGTGTTCGTAGGAAACTCCAACTAACATAATACAGCCATGATAGATAAAATCATAAAACTACAAAGATGGAGCAGCAATTACATGAAAAGCGATTAAAGACATTAAACAATTTTTAAGCTAACAAGTAACACCAGCAAGTAGCATGAAATTAGTAGTAAAAAATAGCGCAAAGAAGTAGAAAGTTCACTGTACCGGAGTAGTCGGCTGGTGCTGGAGAAGACGAAGCAGCAGCAGCAGCTTTGGGAGCAAATTTGAAGTCGGAGACATGTTTGGAAATTAAAGGGGGGTTTCCATTCCTCCACCTTTGTTGCTTCAGTTGGAGCAGCCATGGCCTTTTGCTGTGAGGAAACTTTTGAAATTGAGGGCAGAAGCCGAATTGCCTCACTCCTCCACAGCTACTCATACGTGAAATTGTAAATGGCACAGTCACCATACCCTATGAAAAATCCGATGGAAGAAGCCAATTGACTCCAGACAGAAATTTATGGCATCCGGACAGAAATGGAGTTCTTGGGCATCATCCGAGTCTCCGGGGATGAAGTACCCGCCAATCTGCAAATCTGATTTCGACGTCTCTGCGGCCTATACAATTCGGCGTCGATTTATCTGGCTTTCTCTCTGTGTTCAACCATTATTACTCTCAGTAGAAGATTAGGCACAGCTAAACTTAATACTGATTTGACAATGACAGATTTAATTTTACGCCCCAGAAAGGCATAAACTGAAGGAGCTTGAAAAGTTCGTCGGGATAGATTGTCGGTCGGCAACAAAGTCGGCGAAGAATTAGTGAGACTTCCTTGTTGACCAAAAAAAAAAAAAAAATACTATTACTATGAAGAGTTGACGATCAGTTTTAGTTTTTGTCTTTTTCCGGTTTCCGCTATTACTAAATTACCATCCTTAACACGGTTAAAAATTAGTCTTCCTCCGGCCAACTTGTCTTTCCCGCCAATCAGCTTGTGGATAAATCCGATGCTGAAGTTACGTAATTTCCAGAGCCGGAACAGGTTGAGTACACCCCTCTATGAATATATATTATAATAAATAAATGGATACGTGGTTGTTTGTTTCTCTTATCGAAATTAAGCCGACTACTTGTCTGACTCACAATCAGTGGACGTAGAAATGTTCTCCTGCCAAAGCTCATCATTGGCCACTGTGGCGGAAGCAGTTTCATTCTCTTCCGTTATGGAGAATTGCTTAAAACTACTCCGAGGGGAAACAGTTGCATCTACTCCGTTAACGGAGGGTTGCTTAAAACTACTCCGAGAAGAAGCCGACTGCGGGCGATTGGCCGCTTTGCTTCTAGTAAGTACCAAAGTTTGTCACGACAAAGACTGACTATTCCCGCATCATCTACGTCTACCAGGCCCTAGGCCTTGAGCTTTTCCTCCGTCTCTTACGCACAGGCAGGGGAAATGGTGCTGAGCTATCTGTTGCTGAACTGGCTACTTTTTGCAGAGTTCCCAAAATTTGCTGCCTCTTCACGGATTTCCTCTCCTCATCCAGATTCTTTCTACAGGAGGATCACTCTCGTCGTCTGGAACAATTGAAGATTGCTGCTATGAGTTATTTTACTTGGTAGCAAACGCTCAAGAAGATGGTGTCAGCAGGGCACTTGTATGAATCTGGAGGGATCTTGATGCCCAATCCGCTGCTAGTTGGTTCAAATAATGGCGTTACATATGCAATGAAACTTTTGTTCAGCTCATGCTAACCAAGTTCCCTGCTTACCCAACTTACATCAAACATCCCTCAGAGCTGGCCACGTTGGTTGTCCAAGCATCACGGAATTTCGGGGCGTGGGCGTTGCATACTGATGATGTCAAATTTAAAGCAGCACTTCACTTCATACCACGCATTCTGTCTTCCCAACGTTCAACACCTGTACGCGAAGCTCTCTTGTCTTTGCACAAGGATTCTAGTTGTACAACTTGTGTCTGGTCAACTAGCATGCGAGCTGGTGTTGCAGCTATCCTGAAGAGTCGACTACTTTCGCCGGCTGACAAACTTGAAGTTCTATTCTTAGCTGATTCCACCGTTTCAATTGCTGGCAATAAATGGTTAATTGGTCCGGTTGATGTCACCAAGGATCCGGTCCCCCCCTGACCGGTTTATACAACTTGTCATGGAGACTTGTAGGCTAGAAACAGTTTCTCTTCTCAAAGACTGACGTATTTAAGATTTGAAGCCTCCAAAAGTACTTATGCATCATCCTCAGTGAGATTCAAGTCTAGAAACCTCTATGTGGTGCTTTCTTTGGTCGAGGCAGTATTGGAAAATGACTCTCCCTCTCCCTTACTGTATCGGTATACATTAGTACATGCATAACTACTAGGTACTAAGTTAATGGATTAAAAATTCTTGGACTTACAAGAAAATTAGTTCCCCAATAAATCATTGAAACAGTGATGAAAGCAGAAAAAACAACTCCCAAACAACGCCGAAATATCAAAACTGTTCTTGGGGAAACATTAACTCGAACAGAAAAAAATCCAGAAAACTAAGCAGGTGGAACAGGGGATAAGAGAGATAGTAGTAACCTGTAAGAAACATCAGCAGTGGACATTGTTTTATTTAGATGATGAAAGATCATTGTTTTCTCTACGAAAATTGAATATGCTATAGCTCTATCATCAAAATCGAATGTGACTACCACAGTAGCATATCCAAAATTAATCAACAGCACCTCCCTCCACCCAACCAACCCACCCCCCGGGCCCCTCCAAAATAAGACTGAAAGTGATCTTCTCCAATGAACTTCGTTTGAAATTTAATTGAAGAGAATAAATGGACAGAAGAAAGTCTCATGTATGCTCTAATTCTTCTGTCTTATAACTTTCTCTCCCTGACAAAGAATTACCTTCAGAACCAACCCTTGTAAGAAGACTTTCACATGAAAACCCCAATCCAACTCCACAAGCTCCTCTCACAAGAGTGCTTTTACTAAAGGATGCAACCTGCAAAGAACAAACAGACCTTATATTTATTAAATCATTTCTTCAACATGACCTACTATTCTACCAATTCTACTTGGCCAACTACTGCATCTGTTTTATGCATTACAACATATTCTTTGGTTAGAACTCATCTCATAAGGATATTAGAAAAGATACTTAGATAAACTATCAAGTCGTGCAGTTCTGTCATCAAAGTGTTTGATAAATTAAATTCAGATATTTAACCAATCTCAAAGAACAATATAGATGAGTGCACATGTTTAAATTATAGATAATGATTGGTACAAGGAAAAAATAATAAGGAAAACTTACAAGGAAATGATCTCAACCATCCATTGTTAAATTTCCAAACATGGTTCATGCATTTAAAGTTAAGACATAGTTAAGATCTAGACACATCATTCCTTATCATTTTTCTATGTCATTTTTTCCTTGTACCTATCACTGCTCTTAAATTATTTAGACTAAAATGTCCAAATGGTCCCTTGCATTAACATTGCAATATCGTAATCCCAAACATTATGTTTTCACATTTTTTTTGTTCCATCGACCACTTTTTCGTCCAACTCGATGTTAACCGGCCGTTGACATGCCGGGATCAGAGGTATTTTCGTCTTTATATGTAATTTGAACTTCCATCTAAATTTAAATCATAAAAAAATGTTTAAATTTTCATATCTAATTATTTAAATATTATTTATTATTTTAAAATATTATTATAATATTTTAAAATTTACATTATTTTAAAAATTAATTTTTTTATTTACCTTAACTACAAAGTAAATGATAATTATGTTACATTTTTAACCCAGCCCTGCAGTAATTTAAGAAAAAAATTCAAAATTATCATTATTTTTTTTTCAAAAAAAAAAGCAAAACTAAGATTTTAAAATCTGGGTTTTTACACTACAGTAATCTTAATTTTGCTTTTTTAAAATTTTTTTTATTAATTTTTAAATATTTTACTGTAATTCGATAAATTTTTTAAGTTATTGTGGACTCGAGGTTAAAAGTGTAATATAATAATCATTTACTTTGTAGTTATGGTAAATAGTAAATGAAAAAATTAATTTTAAAAATAATATAAATTTTAAAATATTATAATAATATTTTAAATTGATAAATAATATTTAAATAATTAAACATATTTTTTTAATATTCTTATTATTTAAATTCAGATGAAAGTTCAAATTACATGAAAAGACCAAAATTCCCCTGGCCCCAGCATGTCAACGGCCCGTAAACATCGAGCTAGACGAAAAAGTGGTCGATGAAACTAAAAAGTGTGAAAACATAATGTTCGAGACTACAATATTGAAATGTTAATATGAGAAACATAAATTCAAGTAACACAAATGTAAGGAACCATTTATACATTTTAGTCAATTATTTTAATGTCTTCAATCGAATTTATGTAATTGTTGTTCCATCTTTGTAGTTTTATGATTCTATCATGGCAGTATAATGGTTAGGTCGAGTTTCCAGCAAAGATATCAGATATGCTTCTTAGGTTGTTTTAAACATTGGGTTTATGATATAGATGGTATTCTCCATAAGAGATCTCCATTTAAAATAACCACATTTCAAGTCTAAATCGAAAAAGGAAAATGGAAACACTATCCATATGAGCCCTAATCTAATTTATCTTTCAATTGCCATGCTTCCGAACCTTCGGTTTGTCTTTCAATCGCCTCTTTGAGGCTAGGTAATCTCTCCACCCAGCTAGAGCCACAGTATTTAAAATGACTAAAAGCTAGTTGATAACAACCCTTGGCTAAATAAGGATGGTCATCTTCTTCAGGTACATCAGAAGCCCTGGCATAAACAGCGACGCTTCTGCTTATGACCTGCGATAACGGATTCAGGAGATCTGGATTCAACTCCAGATAACACAGCACATCCTTTTCAAATTGGGACGCCAGTATTAGTGCGCAAAGACTTGACGCCATCAGAATAATGGCCATGTTGTTTGTTTTAACTGCCCAACGTGACACTGGTCCCAAAAGTATGAAAAGAGAAACATCCACCTCCGCAGACCTCAATTTTGGGCAGTACTCTAGGAAGATCAACAGTATACAACAACAATTGTAGCAAAACATGAGGCTAACATCCTCAACCATGCTTGTTGGGACAATGAAACTCAACAAGCTTTTGACAAGACCTTCCAATGCACCAGATGTTACAACAAACACATCCCTTATAGCATGATTACCCATTACAATAACATTAATCAATGGAAGCAGAGCGCCTGTTGACATAACAGGGCAAACCTCGTCGTTCCCAAGGACAGATAGCATATAGTTTAAAGGCACTGAGGCTTCATCTAAGATCTCAAGCAAGTAACCATCAGATGCTAGTTCAAGATATTTAGCAATTAACTCCACTGAAGCAAGGAGATCATCTCCTCTGTTCTGCCCATGTTCCTTGGCATCCCCTAGATAATTCAAAACAAACAAAATTGTCTCCTCCAGTGCAGATGTGATTTTCGTCAAGATGCAGTAGTCACTTGATGTGGGGGCTGCATCTGGATCATGTAAGTCTTCATGAGCTCCTCCGTCTCCAGATTTGTTTGAAATGAGTTCCATTACTGCCCTGACCAAATAAAGCAACATACTGAGGTCTTTACACATCGACGTCATGGCCTCCATCACTACTGATGATGCACAAGTACTTTTGGAGGCTTCAAATCTTAAATACGCGAAGTCATTGAGAAGACAAACTATTTCTACCCTACAATTCTCCAAGAGGATACACCAGTCAGAGAGGAATGGACCCTTGGTGACATCTACCTGACCAATTAACCATTGTATGCCAACAACTGAAATGGTGGATTCAGCTAAGAATAGAGCTTGAAGTTTGTCATCAGGCGTAACTGCACTATTCAGGATAGCTACAACACCAGATAGAATGTTAGTTAACCAGACAGTACTTCTAGAAACCTTCTGCAGAGACCGGAGAGCTTCTTTTACAGGTGCTGAACGTTGGGAACATAAAATGAGTGATATGAAGCGAAGTGTTGACACTTTAAATTTGACATCATCAGTACGCAACAAGCCGAAAATCCGTGATGCTTCAACAACCAACATGGCCAGCTCTGAGGGATGTTTGATGAAAGTTTCGTTAGCAGGGAACTTGGTTAACATGAGCTGAACAAGTTCCACGGCATATTGAACCACATTATTTGAACCAACTAGCAGCAGATCGGGCATCTGAGATGCAAGAATCCCGATCCCTCCAGATTCATACAGTACCCTGACACCATCTTCTTGAGCATTTGCTACCAAGTACAATAACTCATAGTAGCAATCTTCAATTGTTCCAGACGGCGAGACTGATCCTCCTGTATAGAGAATCTGCATGAGGAGAGGAATGACATGAAGAAGCCGTGAAGACGCAGCAATTTTGGGAACTTTGCAGAAAGCAGCCAGTTCAGTAACAGATAGCTCCAAGCAAGCACCATCACCCCTGCCAGCTTTTCTTCCTGTGCGTAAGAGACGGAGGAAAAACTGAAGGCCTAGGGTGAGGTAGACTTTGATGATGCAATAATAGTCATCTTTGTCCTGACAAACTTTGGCTACTAGAAGTAAAACAGCCAATCGCCGGAATTCGGGTTCTTCTCGAAGTAGTTTTAAGCAACCCTCCGTTAACGCAGAAGACTGAACTGTTTCTCCTCGGAGTAGTTTTAAGCAATCCTCCATAACTGAAGAAGATGGAACTGCTTCCGCCACAGGGGCCAATGATGAGCTTTGGCAGGATAACTTTTCCACGTCCATTGTAGGAACTGCGTCAGACAAGCATGCGGAGCTTCCAGCTTTCGTAGAAAACAACAAAGTATCTGTTTAGTAATAGAGGTTTACACAACCTTTTCTAACCCTGAAAAAGTTCAAATCTAAATCAAAATATGAAGGTAATTTGCCAAATCACGTAACTTCAGCATCGGATTTATACACAAACCAAGTTGAACAAGTTCCCAAACCAAAGACGAGGTGAATTCCTCCAAATTCGGAAGATGTAATATTCTATCTGGACTCTAAAATTAAAGGGAGTTTGTTTTCAAGTACTATAGTTATTCTTACTAGTTCAGAGTTACGAATACAAATAAATACACTCAAACTCTAAAAACAAGTAAACACGGCTTCCACAGAAAAAGAAATCAAAGTTAGAGTCATTAAGGATGATCCAGTCTACTTTGTTCCAAAATAAAAAAAAGAAAAATTAAATATAGAAAGGAATTAAACTTGACAACCATTTTCAGATGAGGCTGTCTGTAGACGGAGCGAAGTCTCAGACATTGAAGCTGGGAGGTTAATCCCGCTTTTTCTTCTCTGAGTTTGAATTGAATCCATTTTTTTTTTCCTCTTTTCGTGTTCAATCTTTTCAGTTAAACCTTATGAGATGAAGGAAAAAATAAAGAGGATTTTGAAAAGGGCTGCCTCTCTCTCTATCTCTGGTGAAAAGGGCTGCCCCTTGAGAAGGTTTCCTTCTCAAGGGGGATATTGGTTTGGGGCAGTTGAATTTTAGGAGTAGGATTTGGGACAGTGGATAGAGCGGGAGCAACTGCTTTCTTTCAAGTATCGACGGTTAGTTTTTGTTGAAAAGAAGGCTTTTTTATGTATGTAGTTTTGCAGTAAAAAATTATTATGTGCGAGCAGTAAAAAATAATAATAATAATAAAATAAAAATAAAGTCTCAAACAATTCTTCTTAAATATACCCTTCTTCCCAAATGATTGTTGACACTAGTATTTTTCATTTTCTTGTTGAATTTGATATCGTGTGAAAATTATTTCCTTTGTCTAATTAACAAGATGGCATCCATCTTCCCTCCTGTTATTCTGGCAGATTCTTCATTTTGTCTAGGGGTTAATCTCTGTGCTTTTTGGGGATTGTTTGTGCAGGAAAATTGGTCGTTGGAGTACCCAAAGCTAATATCCAAAATTGATCTCTTACAAAGAAACATAAAGTATCTACAACCCTCATAAGTATCCATTTTTACGAATTCTTATATTCATATACCGCATTTGTCATCTAAACCATTTGTATCTTACTCGTAATTCATAACTTTCTCGTAAAAACTAATATGGCAACTTTTATAGCAGTTTAGATGTTGTTCACACAGCATACCGGTAGAATTTATGACATTTTTATAATCCATTTTATAGACCCATTAAGGAAATGACACAAGTCATCGAACCAAAATCATTCTCTCTATTACTTCTCACTGCATTACATAACATGTGTGGCTAAGTGTTATAGCTAAGAGATTATTTTTCTATTGATAACAAATGTGAGCCAACTGTACTTAAAAATGTTTACAGGGGACCCGTTTTACATTCATGATCCCGGCTTCTAATAAATAGGGTTTTTGAACGATCCAATGAGTACAATACAACATTTCATGAGAATGTCGTCATGAATAATTCTAAAAATAAGCTAGATATAGATACAGTAACAATGGACTACTTTATGTTTGATATTCTGAGATATAATCATCCCTTGAATTTGTTGTCATCATCTTCATCGCTGCAATCACCAACGTCATGCAGATGTGTCCCGCGTGTGCCAACATGTCAAGTAGTTGCAACAAACGTATGCAGTGAATGACAGTATATAAAAATATACCAGAAGGCAAAGACGGTAGGTCCGACTTATCTACATGATTGGTACCCTAGATATATATTTGTATAAGCATCAAAATGTACTCTTGGCCATCAACATAATTTGAGATCTCCACTAAATTAATGGAAACAACCATTAGGCCTGTAAAGGTTGAACAATAGAAGGGCAAAACAAACAATTTTTTTGTTTGGTCATAATCTTCATGAGACTTAGACAATAATTATGGGCATTAGTTTCTCCAAAGCTATATATGTGAGCATGGAAAGTAATGATGAAAGATTCTTTCATCAGACAAATGCTCACGGTGGAAAGATGTCATCTCCTTCCAAATAAGCTACCTTCATTCATATCGTATATGTGAACCAAAACTACCTTAAGTCCAGAAATCATCCCCAGAGACATAATGGTGACTGATACCAGTCTAATTTTAATTAAAAGGACCCAAGATGAACTAACTCACAGTTAAAAGGGTCTACCTTAATTTTTCACAGAGACAAGCTAAAGCATCTGATCCAGTTCTTGATGTAACATCCTCAATCTCAAAAGCATTTGTCTAAGTTATGCAATCTGCAAGCTTAAGCTCGCAAAGCTCTTTCAAGGAACAAGCATCTGTCAGTATTGCTGAATGACCACCACCAGCTGCCAGCTGAATGGGCAAAATCAGTAATTTCACAAAAAGGCAAAATTAAATTTTGAAAGTAAATAATCTGCGAGGAAGATAATACAGTAAAAATGTGACGAAGTTCTTATACAAAAGAGCAGTTAGTCAAGGCACCCTTATTTACCAGTTCTGAAATGTTATGGTACTCTTCATGAACACATGGGTTCGAATCATTCGAGCAACTCTCTTGACCTTAAAGATATTTTGCAGAAACTTCACGGTCTATTTCTTGCTCAACTACAAGCTCTTGATTTCTATCAACTGCTGCTCCAGTTGCTTCAAGACACGAAATAGTTTCAACCTGAGAAAGTGTTATCGCCAAAGGACCCAAAATCAATTGGAGACCATAAAGTTCAAATCTGAACAAGTATACCAAGAGTAAGTTCAGGTTCATCGGTCACTAAAGAAAGGTGGTATGCTACTACTGATCATCACGGTTCTACAATATAAGAGTGGAAATTCATACTGCAAAGAGAAATGGGACTAACTATCTCACAAACACTGGTCAGTTATGTCTTTTTACACATGCCAATTCATTCTGTATCTCAGTTTGTACTATCTTTTTCACTAGCTCCATTATTTTCATCTCAAGAAGGTGCATGATTGCTTGTTATAGTACCAACTGTCACACCCTCTAATCCGCTCCGATTAGCTTAACCCTAATCAAGGAAGCTTAGAAAGGCGTCTGCCCGACTCTCGTCGAGACTCATACAAAAGACATCAATTGAGGAGGAATTTAGTAGTAAATACAAATTTCTGAAGATTAGAAGAGATGAGGATATTCTTGTAACGCATCTCAAAAGGTTTACAAGCTGTTTAAAAAAAATGGCAATGCAAACAACACATCCTTTGTCCTTAACAGAACATTTATCACTTCTGTTTTGGAGAGGGCTCTACCAAAAGCTAATAAACCAGAACCATCAATACATCATTGCCAGTGGAGATAACGAACAATGAAGCGAAACAGAGCTTCCAAGAATCATGAAAGTGAAGCTCTGAGTTTAAACACCTGAAGACATAAAACCAACCTATGCTAGAATGATTGAGCAAGTGGTCCTTGAAAATAAATCAAAACTGATAAAGGCAACATTTAGATCGGTTGGTGGATCGGCCAAAACAATACAGAAGCTAAAAGAGCAAACTGGCTCTCAATGCATAACCAAAATTGATGCCCTATGAGGACATCTTTGTTAACAACGAGGAACTAGTACTACACAACCAAACTACATGTTATCACAATCTAATATTACACACAGCTGCTACTAGTATAACCCCACCTGCAGTAACCATCATGCTATACTAATTACATAGATAAATTACACCCTAAATGCAATCCTACCGAAGTTAATCGTGACTTTGGGTAAAGACTAAATGGAGATCTATCATACAGGTTCTAGACTTAGAACTTAGAACTTACTGAGCATGACCTATTTGGTGCCGAAGTCGTGCAGTCGTTTCCGCACACTTCCCGCAAACCTGAAAAGAAATATCCTAAAGGGGTGAGCTAAGCCCAGTGAGGTCCCCAAGGTTTCAAAAGCCTTTTCATGCAACACACAGGGATCACATGCACGCAAGCATCATTGGTATTAAAATAAAACACACGCATGCGCAGATAATTTTTCAGTAACAATGCGCTGTTGCGCGAAGACTCCACATGCAACCCCGGACTTGGCAAGATCACACAGCAAGCCATAGTCCCTTCACGACCCGAAGGCCCAGAGAATCACGATCCAAGGTGCCACACTACACCAAGGACCAACAACAAGTCTCACGATCCAAGGCACCACACTATGCCGAGGACCAACAAAGAGCATGCACATACATAACACTCGCACGTTCGCAACAAGGCATACAAGCACTCTCACATCCATTTCACATGCAAATTCAGGAAACTAAATAAAGTTTGAGAAAGAAACATTAAAGTAAATTTTCAGGAAGAAAAGATAGGGAGCACCCACCTTTTTCCTCAGCTGCCATAGGGTCTACATAGGGTTCTACATTGCCTAAAGATTCAGCTACATAATCTACAAGTTTAATTATTTAAGGGTTATGGATTTCCTCTAAACCGTAATAGCATATGTTAACTGGTTTTATCTGTCGCAAGCTCGAACAGAGAAATCTAGTCCTGATTAGCATTATAGTTTTCTAGGTTAATAGTGACATATCCAGTCCCAAAGATATATTTGATACTACTAAAATCAAGTTGATTTATAAAGCTATAAGAAATGGAGGAGTTGAGTATCATAGAAGGGCTGTACAAAATCAACTTCTGATTACCCTATATTGAACTTAAGTTTCTCCAATATATTGATTCAGCAACAAGTCTAAAAGATTCTGATCACGACTAGACCATTCTGTTTAACATCAAAATTTAACAAATATAGGATTGCTCAGCTAAATCCTTAGCTTACCAAATTCCTAGAGGTTTAGAATTGATAAAATGCATCAAAACTATTTATTTAGAAGCTAATCCGCTACCTTCCCTATATCAAGGCATCATTCAGAGGTTGGTTTAATTAGTTTTCAACTTAGGGTTGTACTTGGGATTAAAGAAGATCATGTAACTTCATTTGTTTTCCAAATTAAGTACAGAAAACCATCCCAGGCTTTGCAAATGCACTTTTTCCTGATAATATAGAAAATCAGGCTTCTGAATGCATCCAAGAAGGAGAATAAAAGTTCTAATTCTACAAGAGTGTTCAAACAAACAAACTCTAGGAAATCATTTTGCTCTCTGATTTATGTAAGATACCCATCACTTAAATGAATTAAAAGCACCCAAAAACCGAAGAAGAAACAACCCCAACCAATCCTAGCTCGTCCGGATGTAGTCTATCGGTTTCAATTAGACTTTCATAGAAGATTAGCATGTTACCTTGATGGAATCGAAGCTGTAAACACCGCTGCTCCTTCGAATTGAATCCTAAATTGAAAGCCCTTAGTTGTTCTACTTTTGCTCCCCTTTTTGAAGCTTTCCCGTTTTCCCCCATATATATATATTTTTTTGGTTGTAGGAACTAATTTTACTACTTCCAAATTAACTATTA